CAGTCAATTGAAACTCCCTTCCTGATGTATGATTTATACATCACTTCTGGATTTGGCCCATTGTTTTATTTAAATGATTAGCACAACATTCTAATGTGGTTAAGCAAGTTCTGCTTCATATGAATTATTAGGATTTTTCTCCACCCCGCTTTAATTTTTCTCTCCTCTCCTCATCCCTTTAAATCCCAACTTCCCTTCCCTTCCACTAGTGACACTCCCTAGGGCAGTGGGTGAACTGCAACCTGGAAACAGGCCATGGCTCTTCCACGAAATCTTCTGGCTTCTGCGGAAGAAAGTCTGAGACAGACAGTGCTCTGCAGTTCGAAACAGGACTGCAGGCCAGCGACCCTTATTCCACATGAAGTGCTATGAAACTCATGGAAAATTGATTCTTTCTTAGCCATCCACATGCTGAGTTTCTGCCTGACTCTCATCAGTGCCATGCTAAGGATCAATAAGGAAGCATTTTCCAAATGTGATGGACGACTTCGCACACTTGTACCTCGGGTGTTCTTGTGAATGCTCTTTTTCCCTGAAATTTGCAATTAGGTTAGGTACACCCCTCCCAACCTTAAGAGGGATCACCTAATTCCCTCTCAGACTTTTCTTCTAATACGTCCCCCTGAAGATGAGTCAAGCTTAAGTTTTTTAACTCAGCCTAAAGGGTTAATATGGTTTGTACTAGGGCTTAAGTGAGAGGGTCAACGTTTTCTTCTCTAGGCCAAATATCACTAATCACAATTAACCTTCATTACTTCTGTTTTGAATAACAGCACTTTTCCCCCAAATTGTACACACTCCTGAAGTTTAGACCTATGCTTAAACGTTATGTCGTACCTTATCGCAAAAGAAATTCAGTCCTGCTGGGGTAATCCTGTATTCAGCAAAAGGATAATCGTGACCAGAGATGCCATGGGTTAACTACAGGAGTGGACATCAGGATTCCCAGGCTCCAGGTTAATTCTACCAACTAGTTTCTGGATGTCTGTGGATAACTTTCTGTATTGCAGTTTGCTCTGCTGCAAAAGAGACAAAAATCATTCTGCGTAGAGTAGCAGGAAGCAGCTTCACTTAAGAGAATATTTCACAGTCTAAATCACAGAGAAATAAAGAATAGATTTTCCTAATTTGACCATTTCTAGTTTTTCCACAGTTTAAACTGTTCTTCCTGTAGTGGAAAGCAAACAGACAAGCTATTGAAGAACAAGACTGCAAAGCCTCTGCTCTCCTTTCAGAGCCTCGCATCTTTGGAAACAGCAAGCAGGAGCCATCACACATGCAGCATCTACTAGCATCAGAATTTCAGAGGTGGTTATGTTTGCGGGATCTTAGACTGAAATTTTGCCATCACTCCACAGATAAAACAGCATTAGCAACAACTGCATTCCAAGCCAGTTGATGTCAGCAGGGGTCTGTTATTGTTGCTCTCAGCACAGAGGAGTTGGCAGACTGAGACACAGGCCACCAGACATTTATTCCAGCCCTTATCCTGAATTAAGCATTTGCCAAATAAAGAAGGCCAGCTCTTAAATGTGGCTGGGCGACACAAAAACCGCACCTCTAGCCAACAAACCAAGAACCAGGAACAATGACAAGTCTCCTCTTCCTTCTTGCTCCTAACATTTTTTAAGCTAGAGATGCAGCCTAACACGTGAGTGTGGTCCTAACCTCAGAAATAGTTTGCATTTTCTTAGAATAAGGAGTGACTCACCCCAGTCACTTACTCATAATCACTGTAGATTGTTGCTTGTGGAAATACATGCTGCCAAGAACAGGGCTCATTGGTGGATAGGCTGAACACATTTTTCTTGGATAAAAATAAAGTCTCAATCCCCAGAAAGTTAATTATTAAGCCACTGAGCTGTCAGGCACCTAGAGGAGAATTTGTGGTGTTCTATTATTAACTCAGTATATTAGATAATTCTGAAACAAGTACTTCAGGAAAAAAAAGTAGAGATAACACTATTCAACAAGTGTTCTGCATTCTCATCCCCTTTTCTATATATAGGGGTAGAAAAGTCAAGCTAACTGCATATATATGAAGAAGCAGTTTTAAAGTAACAGTAACCTGAGATAACATTTTTAAAAGATTATACCTCATATTCAATATTTAATCTGGTTAAATACCCAGAAATTAGCACATAGGTGTTTTAATGTAACTATAAGAGGTGTCCCAATAGATTTTCTCAGTATTTTCTGAATAGAAAAGTAAAGTACATCACACCTGAGTGGTCCAGGCTGGACAAAGCCGCACATCAACCTCTTGGAAGCCAAGGAGCCTGTGAGGCTGCCTGGAGCACCCTCTACTGGAAGATGTGATATTTTACAGAGTTAGAAAACTAAAATGGCACAAGAATTCTGAAATTATGTTTCACCAGTCATTGTGTCATTGCCCTCACAAACACACAAACAAAGTATGTGGAAGCAATGATTTAATTTGTGAAAACTGGCTTTGCATAATTGCTTTTATGTAGGTTAATTCTTTCAGTTCTCTGCAGACAGTTACACAGAAAATCATAATTTTATAGCTGACGTTTTAGGTCAAAGTTGAAGGTTTGACAACAAAGCAAAGGACACATAAGGCTCCACTGTGGATGTGTAAAAGCCCTGTTTGTTTCCTCCCCGCCCCCCAAACTTTAAAGGCTTTGGCACTGCAAGGCAGATGATTCTTCCCACTTTGCATGGGTGCCGCTAATACCAGAATCCAGCCCCAAGGGTGTTGCAGTATCCATGGTGTTAGAGTCACGTTCTGCTCCTCAGTCTTGCACCACCTGCAGCTTCATTCTGCAGGTGCTGGGTGCCACCTGCAGTCTCCCTCTTCGCACAGACATCAGGCAGGGCCGGGACGCACAGTTCAGCTCACCCTTCATTTGGCAGGACAGGCACAGGGACAGAGGGTTAGCAGCACTGAAGCAGAAGATGCAGTAGGGTTACAATAGCCAGCGGTCTGATGATCTCTAAAGACTCCTATAGTAAAGCCTATTACTTGCTGCAGCTTTGTTTTGAGGTAAAGAAAAAACAGTTGAAGTGGTACAGTCAAAAGTACAAAGTCATCATTAATCAGTCTCAGATATTGCAATTTTTGCAAGACTATCTTTTGTGACAGGTGAAGTCTTCAACCCCATTGATACACGAGTGACAGCAATGAGCAACTCCTACAGCTTAAATAGCCCAGCAGTACGCTTCTGCTGGCGAGTTCACAAGCAATTGCTCTGCGGGAAACATATATACAGACAAGTTATCTACCACTTTTTGTAACATTATCACTGTCCAGCAGTACCCAAGATCCAAGCAAGTGGCTTGGACAAAGAAGACATGGGTGCACATGTAGATCATCAGCCTCCGGTTAGGGAGGGTACCAGTTTTTGCAAGCAGTGTGAAATAGGTAGTAGTAGCCTTGTTACAGTGTAATGGCAGTGAGAGTGGCATCTTCCACATGAGCAATAACTCACTGAAAGAAGTGTTTGGTAGCAGTACATGGGAATGGTAATCTAGATTTAAAGTGCCCTTTTAAAATCAGGTATTCTTAATGAAGAATTTAAGAAGAGAGTTACACCCAAATCTCCTTATACATGCATATGCACTTTAAAATAGACTTGAAAGCACACAACAAGCAGATTGATGCACAAGACCAAACCAGATTCTTTCATCGAGTTTGCTTAGCAGAATACAAAGGTGGTGTGGTTTGTTTAAAAAAAATCCTACACCACTTCCCCCCCACAAGGGAGGAGCAAAGCCTATGGGAGCTCTAGGAGAATTGCCTACACATAAGATTTGTTTTCCTACCTTTTATTAATAATTGAAGAGATACCTAACATACAACACTAAAGTGACATGTTATATTTAAAAACTCTAAGTCACACTTATGAAAAGTCTAGCTGTGAAAAACTGAGCTCTCCTGCACCACCATAAGAGCTAGAGGCTCAGGGAGCAGAGTCAATATAGCTATTCAGGCACATTGACTCCTGGGAGGTTCCAGTTAATGAAGTAGCTCAATCCACAGTTTTTCCAAAAAGCTGGAAAACAGGACTACAATTCTTCCTCTCTGCCCACTACCCCCTCCCCAAAATCCCACCCTGCACAACCACCTTTATAGGCAGAGTAGATTATTGTAAGTAACAATTTAGAAAGAGGGGCAGTAGGTTCCAAGATGAGGCCTTCATTTTTGCTCTCTAGGGCAGGCAACTGCTTCAGAGCATTTCCTATGCTCTGTGCTAAAGCTACCTGAACATACTTACAATTGGTTTAACTGCTGTACTTACCCCTCTTCCACCCTATGCAATTAGGTAGGGGTACTATTTAAAATATTCCTCCAAAAGGCAGAAGATAATTTAGCACATTTATGAACAGGGTAGAACTAATCAGATTTCTGTAAGAGATATCTAGAGAGAAGCAGCAATTCGTTTGTTCTGCAATAACAGAAGCCTGCTATACACAGAAGTCAGAGCTTGGGGTGACCGAGCTGTTTTAAAACCACCATCTGCAGAATTGATTCTCTCATGGTTTAGACCTGCATTCTTGGCATTATACATTTTGACTAAGTATACTTACCCTGTCAGTCACCTTTAAGAGCAATTGACACAGTTCAGTTTGATGTATTGGTATCACTTTATTGAAAGCCAAACATAAATCCTCTTTAAAAGCCTACTCAGTGTATTGATTACAGCAATAGGTTATGTAGAATGTAATAGGATATCAAGAGGCTCGCAGAGTAGTGGCTCATGCTTTGCGAGAAGCCTGTATTGCCCACTTGCATTCCTATGCCTAACAGGGACAGTAAGAACCAGAAAGAACACGTATTTACAAGTATCTCTCAAAGAATGACGTTTACAGTTAGAAATTCACATATGTACAGTTTTGAACTGTTCAAGTATGTTTCAGTTGGACAAAGTGCTAAAGATCACATAAAAAAGTTAAAAACAAGAGGAACTATTAAGACAAAGAGGTGGCAATCATTTGTGTGCCAAATGACTTGTAGGTGGTTGCAGTATATGCAAGACCTAGAAGTTGAAAGTATCTGGAGTATTGCCCTGAATCTGGAAAGTGTAGCTGGCAGCAGTAGATTGTGGTACAACATTTTGGTCTTCCTCCTCCTAGAGGAAAGAGAAAGAGTTTTGAAATAGCAGTAGCATTTCAATTTAGTAGTCAGTGCTAGACTAGAAAATGAAAGTGGGGAAAAAAAAATAATCATTCTGCAGCTACTTACTTCTGCCGAGAAATATTTCTCAATCAGGGTGGATGAGGCTTTGTACACTTGTTCATTTTCATGCGACTGGAGAGCTTCAATTTTGTCTAGACCTCCACACTCCTCAATCATGAGGCAAAGTTTTTCAGTCTCATTAATCTTCTCAGCGGCCTGCAAGAGACAAGCATGGAGTAGCCTCAGGAAAAGATGCATGGCACCAACTACCAGAGAACCACTAGGAACCGCTTGGACAAGGATTGAGTATACTGCATCCACATACCAAGAAGATATTAGAAATAGCATCCAGAATAACTAGCACAGTTTTGCTGTCTTTAGCTGAGAGGAGATTCAGTAGGGGTTCAACAACACCAGCCTGAACAAGATATACAATCTGGTCAATTGTTCCACCACTTGTGTAGTTAGTCACAGCCCACACAGCTTCCTTTTGAGATTTGAAATCCCCCTGTGAAGGCAAAAGCAGGGTATTTGAACACAGATAGTAGCAGTAACAGCAAAAGTCTCAATGTGGTAAATACAGTTTTTGTTACCTTCCTCAGAATACCAATGAGATAAGGTACAAGACCATGGTCTACGACTCGCTGAATCTGGTCCTGTCGTCCAGCAGTGATGTTGGACATTGTCCATGCTGCTTCTTTCTGAATGTTGTTTTTATGATGAGAAAGGAGACTTGGAAAGACAGATAGCGCTCCCGAGTCAATAACGATCTGCGTCTGCTCATCAGTACCAGTGACAATATTTCCTATGGCTCTTAATGAAGGAGTCTGAAACAAATATGAAAATATTACTTAGGAAAACTGGTATCATCTAATTTGTATTTGAACAAATACAGCCATACTTCATGCCCCTCTGCTCTAGACTTCCCAGTTAACAGGATGGTATGGTATGTGCTGATGAGCTTTAAGCTTCTCATCAGCATTACATAAGCAGACATTAAGCACGTTAAGACTGCACGCCTTCCAAGGCAACTCTGCAAACAACTACTCCTGATAGAGCTCAGGAAAGCTATCTCCTAAGTGCTAATGCTGTTTTATTATACTATAATTACAGCATGCATAGAGCCCACTTCTAAACACTGTCCCTAGAATTTGGATTTGCAACAGTAATTTAGAGTTAAAAGCAAGCTTTAAAGAACGTTGACTGTTGTGCTGGCCTGTACGTTAAATCCAATGATTATGCAAAGAAGCTTGATAGACCAACAGCAATAGTCTATGCCTCATGTGGGGCAGTGTCCAGGTAAGATAGAAGCTCAAGTCTTACCTACACAAAACCTGGAACAAGCATCAGATTTATGTATGAAAGGAACCATTCAGTTACACAGACATTCTTCTAACTGCAGTTTTATTCGTGATGCAAATCAAGCAACAGCAATCTGCATGTCCAATAGCTTACCATTATTGGCAGTTCACTACATCCCAGGAGTTTCACAAGTTGTGGTACCAATCCAGTTTTCACTACAACTTCTATCCTGTCATTGGAACCATCTGTTAGATAGGAAAGTGCCCAGCATGTGTCTGCTAACACCTCGTGATCATCATGGTGTAAGAGCCGAACAAGCGTTGGAAGAATCTGCTCAATAGCTTCTATGGGTGGTGCAGGATTCTTATTACGACACAGGTTTGAGAGGGTCCAGGTAACATTGCGTAAATACCCAGACTGCAAGAGTTCAGATAAATGGTTAGCAACTGTTACTTGAGCTCTTTTGCTCTCCTATTAGTAATTGTAACTCAAGTCATACTGTACACTTACAGCCAGAGAAGAAAGATCAGGAACAGCTAGTAGACTCAGCAGTGGCTCAATTGCACCAAATTTAATAACCAGATCTCTATAGGTAGAACCATCCCCTGAGAAAACAAGAAAAATAGCCAGGTGAAGACCAGAATAGAGGGATGTGTGCATACAGAATCATTCTGTGTTAGATGAATTCTTCTACTGCTTAAGAAGTGCTAGATAAAAAGAAGAGGACAAAAGGACTACTGCCATGGTTAAGTCGTAGGACAAGCATGTGTTTTTCTAATCAAGCCACTGAGTTTAACTTTTTTCCTGTTGGGGAAAAAAAAAAGAGGTAGTTTAGTGTATGTTTCCTATACAGCTTTTCATAACTAAGGAGGGACTTGCATGTTTCTTTGAAAACGTATGTAAGCCCTACCACTAGAGCAGAGCTCTACCCATAACATGGGACTTCAAATGCATTATAATCATCAGTTGCATGATTGGGTTCTATAGTATAATTCTAAAAGAATGTCAAAGTTTGACTGAATTATTCTATTGCAAGGTACAAAAAGTACCTTATAATTGAGTTTAAAAGACTAAAGACAAACGTTAAGAAAGCTCCAAACAAGGCTTTTATTGAGCTCATTTTCTCTGTATGAAGATTCACTGTTGTCTTTAAGGCACAGTGCTCTCTTCCAGCAGCTGTTGGAAGCCATAATAATACAGCAAATACAATATTGTAACTATATTCTTAAGTTTGACTTTTTTTTTTTTTAGGAATAGGATGCAACACTGGCAGATCAATTAAGTTTCTCATGCACCTTTCAGGATTAAGTATATAATACTTTCACATCAGTAAGTAGCTGTTTCAAAGCAAGGAATATTGGCCATCACATACACAATTATGTGAGCCATCTGCTTCCTCCCTTCCTCCTTGTAGTCAACACACTGAGCAGAGCTCATTGATAAATCACAAAAGCATTCAGTGAGGTGTGAAAAGTGTTGTAGCATGGTTATATAGGCCTGTGAAGACTGAACTGAAATATGGAAGCAATCCACATAATGCAGCCTGCAAGTTGCCAGGTATTGCATGAGACATCTTACACCAAGTCTGAAGATAAAGAATTGTCTATAGCATGCTCCACATTGCATGGCATGTCTTTACTTGCTAAGGCAGAGTTCCCAAGAAGCTCAGCATGCTGCATGATATGTCAGTAGTAATGTCCTCCTATTTGAAATAAGGGAACAGGTCTGAAACAGAGTTGTGCGTAGCATATTGACATACCTGCAATATTTCCTAAGGCCCACACAGCCTGTTCACTGATGTGAATATGAGGAGAGGCCAGTAGTGAAATAAATGCTGGAATAGCCCCTCCATCTACTACTGCCTTTGTTTGTTCCGACGTGCCAGAAGCAATGTTGGTAAGTGCCCAGGCAGATTCAAACTGAATAGGACTACAGTCTGCTCTACCCAAGAAGGAGACAAACTTGGGAATCAAACCAGCCCGAATTATGTTGTCTATGGGGGGCTGCTTCTCTCTTGAGAGGAGTTTCCTAAGCAGGAAGACAAAGAGAACGCATTATTTTTGCCTGCAGAGATCTGGACAACAGATTCCATTAATCAGTCTAAAAAGGTCCCTGTTTAAAAGAAGAAAAGGTCAGCATTGCCTTTACACTCAGACAAGGCAATTCAATAAGACATGAAGGAGAAATACAGACAAGCTTAACACTAGCTTCCTAAATCTCTGGTAACATTGTTTTTGGCACATCTTCATTATGAGCGGCTCTGTTCAGACTCTGAAATAAAGCAGACCTGCAGGAGTCATAATCCATCTGAATTGCTAGAGGTTTCTCAGCAGGCAGAAGGTTAATGACTGCCAGAAGCAGTACTGCAGCAATACAGAATCTTACTGAAGGAGACTTCAGACTTGGAAGCAGAAAGGAAGTTTGGCATTCTTCAAACCCCAGTCATCTTACTGTTGACTTTATTCTAAGGTAGTTCACTGCACTCAAATACTGTAGTCAAATGTTAACACAGTTTAAAGACATCTTATTCTGTTATAGCAAAGACCTTATTATTTTTACTCCTACAACTCCAAGATTGACTATTGTTTATTTTGCCACTTCAAAATCACTAGAAAGAATTACTACTTTCTAGTAAGATGTTCAGGTACATAAAACATTCAAAAGCCACACTATTTCCATGAAATTATGATGAAATTAAGCATACCTAAACATTGTATAAGGCTGACTCAGGTTTTGAAAATGCTGTCTGATAAGAAGAGCCATAGCTGCTGCCCTAAGCAGACACTTAGGTCCATAAGCCAATTCTTTCGCCTTGCCTAGTTACTGGCTTGCACAGCTGAATTAGTTACCTCTAAACTCCTTACCTGGCAGCTTGAGTAGCCTGTAGCTGAAGCTCCATATTATTACTATTAACTCCTTTGACTATTTCTTCAACTGACCAGTGTGCCGAAACCTGTACAATAAAAACTTATGTGAATGCTTCGTTGGGAGAGGCATGTGTCTTAATGACCACGGAGGCCTTCTACACAAGACCATTAATGGACCCCTGTTTACAACCACTTCCTTTATTAAAAGATCACTATGTGATACTCCAAAACCTCAGCAGCTACAACTTTATGCACAATTACCTGAACTACTGAAAGCTTTTATTACTCAAGTCCTCCACACCGCTGTTACACTGATGCAGTAGGCTTAAACACAACTGCCTAAGCTATGTTTTAAGAGTGTTGACCATTAGAGTTGGTAGTATAGACTTAAGTTGGTAATGTATATGTAGTAGTGCTGTCCCCCACACGACAAAGAATTCATACTAGCACCACTGCATGAGCTTATATTGCAAGACCTCCAAACGTGCCTGTTCCGAGTACCTACTCACCTGATTGCTCCTGTTTTCCTGCAGAGGAGAAGTAGCATCATCTGGTAAAGTGCTAACATTTCTTCTTTTAAGCATCTGGTCATCTTTCTTAGCTTTTCTCAGCTCTACATTGACTTCAATACGCCGCCTTCTCATTTCCTGGAGCATATACATTCATAGTAAGTTCTTGGCTTTTACAACTCATGCTCAAACAGATGATGGCTAGCTGAAGTACTAATTGCATCAAAAATACTCACAGTAGTATCCTTGCCTTTGTTCTTGAATCTGTTCAAGCGAGCTGCTGCTGCATTGGCATTCTCATTTGTTGACATCTTGCTTATTATATTTTTGAGAAACAGATAAACACAAGCCTGAAAACAGAGCAAATAATAAACAGCAAGTTTACTCCACAAGAGTCAAGTTTAAAAACTGGCATCAATACTTGCCAAGAGACACTTGTCCATATTAGAGCCAATAACAGCCTCCAACTTGATGAAAGACACTAGTAACCTAACAGCTGTCTCTTTAAAACCCTAGATGTTAATGCAAGTTCTAGTATTAACACAAAAGCAGTAAACACACATACATCGTTTTAAGACACTTCCAGCCACAAACATTACCAGTATCGTTGTTCTTCAGGGCAAAATTAGTTTTCCTTACCATAGGCAGCACACATACTTTTAAGGACGATGTTCACAGTGTCATATATCGCACAGGCACCCCACCCAGTCCCAGCCCGACCCCTTTTGATAGGAACAGGGAGATCTCGTACTGGGAAGGCTCCCCCGGGGAGGCTTGCCGTGTCGGTAGCAGCAGCTACGCTGGTAACAAGGCAGATCCCTGCACCTTGGCCAGCTCCAAGGTGACCCACTGTTTAAGGGCTGGCTTCGTTTCGCCCACAACTCAGCCACAAAAGGCAGCCCGCTCGGCGACACGCCAGTCCTGTCAGCCTCACTCCAGGAACCGGCCTGAGACCCCAAAGACCCGAAAGTCTCCGGAGGAA